CGGTTGTTCAGGTTCAGCTGCAGACACACAAACAGCAGCATGGTGTCAGTTTTAGATGATTACAACTTGACATGGATGGATGGATGGATGTTTACCATTGAGGAAATGCCCTCCTCTCCCTCTTTATTGTTCTTTTGAGGTTTTAGGAGGTTGTGAAGGACTTTGTTGTGTCTCGCCAGCTGCAAAAACACACCAAGAACTTTATTTTGACCCAAACCAACCACAAAACATCATGAGCTCTTCCAGACAGCCAATAGGAAATTGAGTTTAGTCACCTGCTGAGCCAGGATGTAGATGTTGTGCCCCACCTCCCGAGGAGAAGCTTCCACCTCCACACCTTCACATTCACTCTCCTGGTTGTAGGCCTTCTTTATCACCTCCACCTGGCAGAGTGGACATGTACACACTTAGATTTTTCTTGCTTTTCAATAAGATCTTTAACAGCTGCTTTATGGACATGTGGTTCAGTGTCTGACCAGCTCTCGTGGCCGCAGGTTCAGCAGAATCCTCTCTGCGTTCTCACTGTCGTGGCGACTCTCCATAAGAGCCAACAGCAGCTTGGAGGCATTGTCCTGTCGAACAGCAGTCAAACAAATGGACTGAACCGTTTGTCAAGTGCTAGAGACAATGAGTTCTATCTTTACACAGACAGGAATGATATTTGTGGAAATGCTGACTTAAAAACCTGGAAACAAACCCACACATTAGCCTAAAAGAGTGAGAGATAAATGATGGTGTTTGGTTATTTGATCAGCTCCTACACCGCGCCCCAGATTACATGTTTAAACATAATTACATTTCAAGCATTGTTAGATTTCCTGTGCTTCTCTTAATGCACAGAAATATGAAAATAAGAAAGATTTCTGCACTTTTGCCACTATGGTGTCGCTACACTGAACTCCGTCTAAATGAAAGAGGTGACTCCATTTTACCTTCAGCTGCAGCACCATCTCCATCCGATAGCGACATAGAGGACTGATGTCATTCAGGATCAGAGCCGTTATGATGTCGATGCCGTTGGACTCGTGGGTCACGATACATGTCTGAAACACAGAAAACAAATGTCTGTGTAAGACAGTGCAGTAAACAAGGGACACCTTTAGAGGGTCTTGAAAATTAAAAACTAGAGGATAACATCAGGTCTCTTCATCTGTTGTGCTGGCACTCGTGGTTCTTTGGTGCCTTTTGAGGCCACGTTTTGAGGTTTCTGGGTGCTGGTGCCAGTTTTTTTTCAATGGATGTACCTTTCTTCTCAACAAAGCACCTGTTGATATCCTCAACTTTCTCATATTTCTAGTAGTAAGTATCGTCTTGCATTACTAACCACTGGCTTTGTGTCACATGCAGCTATATCAATCTGCCCAGACTAGGAAATGGAGATCACTGGCCACTCCTTAGTAATAATAATAATAATAATGGATTGCATTTATATAGCGCTTTTCAGGGCCCTCAAAGCGCTTTACAATTCCACTATTCATTCACTCTCACATTCACACACTGGTGGAGGCAGCTACAGTTGTAGCCACAGCTGCCCTGGGGCAGACTAACAGAGGCAAGGCTGCCATATCGCACCATCGGCCCCTCTGGCCAACACCAGTAGGCGAAGTGTCTTGCCCAAGGACACAACGACCAAGACTGTCCGAGCCGGGGCTCGAACCGGCAACCTTCCGATTACAAGACGAACACCCAACTCTTGAGCCACGATCGCCACGATAGTGAGTACTTACCCCAAGAAGGTCCCCATGAATGTTAATAATGTAATCATCTGCTTTACCGCAAATGCATCACTACTGACGAGGGACAGTTAACCTAACAAGCATGTCTGTGGACTGTTGGAGGAAGATAATCCACACAAGCAGAGTGACAACACTCAACTTCCAGCAACAGGTTTGAACCTACAGCCTTCTTACAGTGATGCTGCAGTGTTAACCGCTGCACCACCTTGGCACCTGTACCGTCACAGAAAAGTAGAAACCATTATTTCCACCCTGTTGTTCTCATGTACCTGGTTCTCTTGGCAGGGTCCTTGGCAGTACTCTGTAAGTGTTTCCAGGGTCTGAATGATGAGGTGGACATTTGATTCATTGATGTACAAGCCCAGCAGGCCCAGGCCACCCGTCGTACTACCACACATGATGTCCAGGAACTGAAGTGTCTCACACACGAGGTTGTAGTTGGCTTTGTTATTCTGACAACGCAGGAAGTTCTGGAAACACAAAGTCACAAATTTGAGCCTTACATTTTCTGTATGTGTGCTCACATGAAGAAGATGCTGGGACAAACAGATAGCTTTACTTCCTGTACTGGCCTCTAACAGACGGTGGTAAAAGACCTGCCTAAAGTGGAGAGAAAAACATCCAACTTGTCTCTAAAATATAGGTAGTAGATATTAACTTTTTGTCACATGTTTAATGCTATACAATCTGTAAAAAAGGCTCAACACTGTTCAGTAGTTAGCAGGAACTGACCTGTAGGTCGTTGTTGTGGTTCTCACAAAGCAGCTGTAGGAACCTCAAGATCGGCTTCATGATGGTAACAGCTGGTCCCATCTCTGTCTCCACCTCCTTCTGCTCTTCAATAGGTTGAGCTGGCAGGGTGGAGGTGCCTGGGGCAATGGGCGCCCCTGGTACCAACAGTGGATGACCCCCTGTACCCGGAAGTACACCCATTGTGGTGGAGCCACCTTTAAACCATAAAATATTATTACAAACATCCTTCAGAAGTCGAACTTTTTCAGAGTCTTATTTTTCCCTTCACAAAGGTGCATAATACATAATTGTCAAAGGAGCTTGGAAAGAAAAGTGTCTGGACTTCTTTAAGTTTCTTGAAGACGTTTCACCTCTCATCTGAGAAGCTTCTTCAGTTCTAAGGTCAAATGGTGGAGAGACCAAACAGCCACTGCACAAGCGCATGGCACAACACAGAAGAGCCACCTCCACGGGACAAGACTCGGCAGTCCATCTGCATCTAAAGGTCAAAGGTCACTCTTTCGAGGATGCCAATGTTCACATTTTGGACAGAGAGGACAGATGGTTTGAAAGAGGAGTGAAAGAAGCATCTATGTCCACTGTGAGCGACCATCTTTGAACATGGCAGACAGTTGGTTTACGACACCAACTGTCTGCCATCTATAATCCAGTTTTGAGATCCTTCCCAGACGCCTTAACGCCCACTCACATCCTGGGCCATCTGACCTCAGGAAATCACATGATAGGGTGGGGCCAGGTTTCACAATGAGCTCACCCGAAACTCTGGCTGATTGTGACCCACACCCGCTTTCACACCTTGGCTCATGTGATTAGGTAGAGGATCATCAGGGGGTCCTTTTGTCCCTCTGTGGGGGGAAACTCACACTAGGTTTAAATCTGGAACTCTCCACCATTTGACCTTAGAACTGAAGAAGCTTCTCGGATGAGAGGTGAAACGTCTTCATGCAACTTAAAGAAGTCCAGACGCTTTTTTTCCCAAGCTCCTTTGACTACGATGACCTGGATGACTGAGAACCTTCACAGACACAATACATAATTGTTTGTTAATTAACCATTTAAAACATTATATCAAATGTCTAAACCTGATCAAAGTTCCAGTGAGTGATGCCAAACTATTGGTTACAAAATGGGGTTTGATCATATCATCCTCAAATAAATCTAAGGAACCCTAAATATGGACGTACATTGAAACTATAGAATAATGGGATTGCACAGATTTGTCCTCATAAACTATTTTCAGATGACTCTCACCGTTCTCCAGCTTCTCGTTGGCCTTGTGTGTCACCTCTCCAACATTAACAGAAACCGTTGCTTTAATGTCGGCCTGAGCTTCTTTCATTCTGTCATTAAACACTTTAAAGAACTTCTCTGACTTGTTGTCACCCATCATCAGTTTGTAGAAGGAGTTCTGCATAAGAAGTGGACAGAGTCAACGCACCAGTTTAACACGGGACCAAAAGCAAGCTTGAAAACCATCCCAGTCTAAAACCATACCTAAAATGAATCAAAACCAGCTCTGAAGCAGTCTTTGTTCTAAAACAATATATAAAAGATGGTCAAAACTAAACCCAGCGTACAACCACCTCTAACCAAGAACCAACTTCTTTCATTAAAATGGTCCCATTACCAGTACCACATCTTGTGATCTCTGGATCAGCTATGTTGGAGAAAACTAAACTACACTATTCAAAAAAAAGTGACCATTCTTGTCTCAGATCTATTGTTTCTACACGTTTGATGTATTATTTGGGTTTTCCTGTGCTTTTAGAATGGACTTGGCTCATTAATTTCATAACAGTGACTTAAATGAGCAAAGAAACTTCTCCTGTCTGATACCTGTATCTCAGTGTTTCCTCCCTCCAGCAGACAGATGGCCAGCTGGATGCTCTCCTGGAAGATCTTATCATTCTTGGTGCTCATCACCAGATCTGTGAACAGCTTCGTTCCTCCTTCACGATCCAGACGACACTGGATTGCTGCCACTGCCGCCCAGTCCCGCTCCTGTTCACCGCCTAACTCACAGAAAGAAAAATACAGCATAATATAGCAGCTTGTGCACAGACAATATAGATTATAGCATCATAAACACATTAGACTGCTATTATTGTGTTACGTAAATCATGTTAAATAAATGGTGTCCTGGGGAATCTCCCCTCAGACTTGGATCAGTGAGCTCAGTGGTTCTAATTAGCAACACTGAACGCACCGACACATAACGTCCAACAGGTTATAAATTCAATCCAAGTCTGGGGAATTCAATTCCTTCTTAGTAACTATATAAACACACCAAAAGCCTTTAACCCAGAGTCCGCTACAACAACATAAACATGATGGGTGGGTCTGAGGATTTCGTCCTGGTACCTAACAGCAGTCAGAATACTGCTGGCCCGCACATGGAGGTTATTGCCACCATCTACGGATATACATGAGACAACAAACCTATCAATGTCAAATATGGATGTGTCATCACCAGAGATGGGCAGTAACGC